CCACAATTTCTACAGTAAGGCTGAACTTAATAACATGGCATTCATCATTTCTTTAAGAGTTCTATTCTTCCTTTCAGCAATTCCATTTTGCTGTGGAGATAAGGTGCTATAGTTTGGTGAATAATGCCATGTTGTGCACAAAATTCATTTAATGGTGCATCATATTCACCACCCCTATCACTTCTAACCATTTTAATGGTTTTACTAAGTTAATTTTCAACTTCAGTGTTGTAGAGTTTAAATATTTTCAAGGCTTCATCTTTACTTCTAAGTAAATATACATAACAATATCTTGTGCAATCATCGATAAATGTTATGAAATATTTTTTGCCTATTCTAATTTGAACAAATTTAAGATCACATACATCAGTATGAATTAGTTTTAGAGGTTTGTTTTTTCTTTCAACCGATTTAAATGGAGCATTAGTTAGTTTCGTTTCTACACAAATCTTATATTTGTGATTAGGATCAATTTCAAACTTTGGTATATAATCCAAACCAATTAATCTACACAAAGCATCAAAATTCATATGTCCTAATTTATTATGCCATAAATTTGACTCAAGAATATAAGCAAAAGATGTGTTATTCTTATTAATAGTAAGTTTTGGTACAACCGTTATTACATTCAATTTGAAGAGACCATCACTCATATATCCCTTACCAACATACATACCACTCTTTGTTAATACAAATTTATCAGACTCAAACACAAGCCTAAAATCATTTTTACTTAACAAAGAACAAGAAACTAAATTCTTTCGGATGTCTGGTACATGCAGTACGTTAATAAGGGTAAGTTCCTTATCTGATGTCATTTTTAAGATCACCTTTCCTTGTCCAGTCACAATAGAAGTAGAAGAATTTCCCATGAAAAGTTATTCATTATTTGCAACCTCATTGTAAGTAGTGAACATCTTTTTGTCCGCACAAATGTGATGAGTTGCCCCAGTGTCAACTCACCATTTCTTGAGTTTTCCAACCAAATTAGCCTCAGATACCACAACAGAGAGATTGATGTCATTTACCCTGTCAGAGATGTAATCTAGTTTTGTCACATTGGCTTGATTGGCAGTCTTATTGCTTATACTTTCGCGATCCTTCTTAGAGTGGCGGCAATCAGAGGCTCGATGTCCAGCCTTGTCACAGTTATAGCTTTTTCCTTTGAACTTCTTATTGCCATTGTTGTTACCTTGTTTAGGACCATCTCCAGCAAACTTTTTCTTTTTGTTATGTGATTTGGGCATATGTTCAACCACATTAGGCTTGGACTCAATGGGGGGTTTTTACCATTCCTCTTTTTAGCCTTACGGTTATCTTTCTTAATTCTTAATCTTACAATCAATTCATCCATGGTTATCTCTTTGCGTTTATGTTTTAAATAATTTTTGAAATCTTTCCAAGCCGGTGGTAATTTTTTCACTAAAGCAGTGACTTGGAAAGACTCGCTAAGTGACATACCTTCAGAATGAATATCATGCAAAATTAATTGAAAATTTTGAACTTGAGAAATTACTGTTTGGGAGTCTACCATAACGAAGTCCAGAAATTTATCGACAACAAATTTCTTTGTGCCGACATCCTCTGTCTTGTATTTTTTCTCCAAAGAATCCCAAAATTCTTTTGCTGTTTTCAGAGGGCTGTAAACATTATACAACATGTTGTCAAGGCCATTGAGGATGTAGTTTCTGCACAGGAAATCTGAACATTTCCAAGCATCTATAGTGTAACGGCCTCAAAATAATAACATTAAACCCAACAAATAAGACATGCATTGATATGTAAAAGTTCCACATTCTTCCATTTATCAGAATTCCATTACATAAGTATTACATGTTAACAACAAAAGCAAATGCCCTATGGGCTTACAGCTTTCCAAGTTAACACTTGGTTACAACAAAAGAGTACTAACTCATTGCACATTAAGCCCTTGGCTTGAGAATGTTTGATCATAATCTGTCATCACAAATCTGAGGTTTTCGTGCTA